CAGCTCAAAGAGCCGGGCGCACTCCCGACCCTCAGGAGGGGGCGGGGCCGCGGCCGGGCAGAGCCGGGGGCGGGGCGAGTCCCGCGGGGCCGGCCCACCTGGAGGGAGAACGTCAGCGCCAGGTCGGTCTCCACGTGTCCGCTGGGGGGCAGCACAATCTCGTGGGACCGCAGGATCCGTTTGGAGCCCTGGGACACAAGAAGACAGCGCCCGAGTCGGAGGAGGGCACCTCCAAGTGAAACAGCCAAGACGTCGGCCTGCGCAGACGGGCGGGCGGACGAAGAGCCACGCGCGGCTCGCGGGGCGGGACGCGCAAGCACGTGTGGTTCCCTCAGGCACCGTGCGGAGAGTTACCAAGAGCTTATTTAACACGTCCATATCCTTTGACGCACCACGTCCACCTCTGCGAATCTGTCCTAAGCAGTGCGAGATTACGATTACGAGCGGTCACTGCCAAATTTACAGCACCTATTGGACGGAAATGCAGCAAAGAGATGCAGGTGGTAACGACGGGATGTAGCAGGTGCGCAAGACGCCGAGCGTTCCTGCAAAAGTGAACGGTGAGGGGTGGCTGCCCCCCAAGAGCAGAATGGGTCCAAAGGTCGCTAATTAAAGCAGGGCAGCACCATCACAGGGTAGGGAGAGGAGCAAACGCCTAGAAGTAGATCTGGAAAACACGTGCACACACGAAGACAAACTCAGTATGTAACAGTGAGCCTTCAGGTCGGCAGGAAAAGCTCATCGCTGAATGTCTGTGATACGTGAATAATAAATCATCTGGAGAAAACACCCAGGTCCCAACATCAAACCTTACACCAAAATAAATTCAAATGGATTAAAAAAGTCATCATAGTATTGCATTAAATAACTGTCAGGACAGGAACGAGCCTTGGAGGTGTGTTCAGTGCAGAAAGCTGGACACAGGACAGACCCATGTCTGGGGGCACCACCAGGAGCTGGATTCACAGGTGGGAAGGAGAGCAGAGAGTACCAGGCGGCTCTGACTGGGGGGTGTCAGGGTGACTCCTGAGGCACTTGACCAAAATGAGGGGTGCAGAGAAATGGGCGAGACAGGAGTCGGGTGTGGGCCCAGGAACAGGCGTGGGAGCTGATGTGAGTGACGGGAAGGGATCCCCAGCACCATGCGGGCTGGCCCGTGTGGTGACGGGGTGAGGCTTCACAGGATGCCCTGCTGCAGAGGCCAGGCTGCTGCCCCCGGACGCGGGTGGTGCCGGCCCAAAGGCCTTGCTACCTGCGGCTGCTCCAGCATGAAGGGTGCCAAGGTGGCCCCTCCCGCCAGTCCTCCCCCTCCCTCTGCTTTCCTAGAGGGCAGACACCCCCGGCCCATTGCCCTTTGTCCCTCACAGCAGCTTCTTCCAAATCTCTTGCACATCTGATTCCACTCAGGTCAGGACCTGAACTGTCAGGTGAAGGAGGGTCCACACACAGAACGGAGGAGGGGCAGTAGTGAACCCATGTACGTGCGTACATATATATGTAGTAGACTCACAAGAGCCTGGGGGCGGGGGTAGCTGGGGAGCCAGGAGCAGTGCTGAAAGACAGGGGACCCAGGCTGGAGAGGATGCCCATAGAGGAGCAGGCAAGGAGCCGCGGGTCTGCCTATGAGGACACTAGCGGGGAGTGGGAGCCAGGTGATGGGGCACTCGGGTGAGCTGGAGGGACGGGGCAGCTCCGAGGGGGCCTTGGACCCCCATCAGAGGCTGAGTTCTTGATGCAGGACCACAGAAATGGGCAGCTGGAGGAAGGAGGCCAGAGTGTGAGTGGGTCAGTCATGTTGGAGGTCAGAGTCCAGGGATAGGTCAGCCACCTGTTCAGAAGGCCCGGAGAGCTCTTGACATCCCCCCTCCCTGAGCAAGGAGGCCCAGAGCACAGCTGGTGCCACCCAGACCCCGGAGGGCCGGTTCTTGCGTGGGGCACCTTCTCCGACCCCGGGACACAACCTGGCATGGCCAGGTTGATGCTGAGAACAGCAGCAGCTTGGGTGAGCAAAAGGATTTCTTCAGATCTCGGGTCAAAAGCATAATGCTTTCCAGGGGCAGGTGTGGCAAATGACTGGGAAAGACAGCCTCGTGCCTCCTGGGCTCCAGTCTGAGCTCCCGGCCTGACTCACGCTGGCTCTGAGCTGCTCCTGAAGGTCTAGCCAGGAAGCCCCAGTGACCCTGTGCCAGGAACCCGGGGCTGGGTCTGGAGCACCCAAGCCAGGCCAAGGACGTGGGCTCCAGCAGCCTGGGCCTGAGGGGGAAACAGGACCTTCACCCTTGGTGCCAACGGCCTTGGGGTCCTAACAGGACAGGCACTGATACCCGCTGCACTTCCGCCGCGGTGGCCACACCCAGGACAGTCCCACTTCCAGAAGCTGCTACACAGGCCACCTGTGAGCGGTGCTGGCGGGGAGCGCCTGCAGAGGTGGACCCTACACATGCCCACACCTGCAGGGGGTTGGCTACAAAGGGCCAAAGGAGGCGCTACCTGGCAGCCAAGGACTGAAGGCCACCTCCCATCCCTGGGAGCAGATGTGGCCCCGGGGGCCCCGGAAGGCCAAGGCAGCCCCAACAGCCGACAGGACCCTTCCTCCAGGGCTTGGGTGAAGGCAGCACTGAGGGCTGGGGGCTGCTCTCCCCCGAGGATGGGTGGGGGAAGTGGGCTCCCCTGAAACAACTGACACTTGTTCAGAGGCAGAAAGGGACCCACGAGGCCCAAGGGACACAGGGTATGATAGCATGGGAGTGAAAGGTGACGCGGCTGGGCCGGGCCTGGGTGGTGGGCTGGTGGAGGGACGCCTCGTGTGGGGGGCATGTGCAGAGGTGCGCGGAGGGGCTGCCCGGGCTTCTGCGCTGAGAGGCCCGTCTGCGAGGGAGCTCAGCACACTCGATTTCCTCCCCGTCCTGGGACCCTGGGTGGCCTGCCCTTCATGGGGGACAAGACAGGAGGGTGGTTCCTTCCCCACCAGGGCATCTGAATCGGCCCCAGGCCGCCCGCAGAGGTGAGGGTCTGGCGGCCAGGGAAACTGTGCCCCCTCTTGTCTCCCGGCTGCCTGGCCCGACTCTAGGGCAGTGACAGGGGAACCCTCACCTGCATCTTGACGGCGATCACCACCGAGATGAGCTCCTTCTCCAGCTCCTTGAAGACCACCAGCTTCTTCAAGGTCAGGCTGCACAACCTGCAAAGGGCACAGATGGCTTCAGCAGCGACCAGGCCCTCAGGCCTCCTCACACTCGGGGAAGGCCGCCCCAGGAGCCCCAGCAGCCCCAGCCCCAGCTGGACCTCAGGTTCTCTGCCCGCACCTCCCAGCAACTTGGTCACTCCTGGAGACTGGCCATCGTGTCTCCCACGAGCCCAAGCCCAGGCCCAGCCAGGCTGGGAGCTGTCCTCAGGTCCCTGCACATGGGGGGCACTCATCAGCACACCTAGGCTGTTGAACCAAGCGCCCCCTGCAGAGGGTCTGCAAGGGTGGGTCTCCCTCTTGTTCAGGTAGCTAGTACGGGTCCACCGACAGGCAGGCAGGAGGGTGAGCAGGCAGGACGCCTGACCACACACTGCGGAAGCCCCTAGGGACCAAGGGACCAACGCCCAGAGCGCCGCTCCCGACTGTGAGCTCAACGGCCTCCCACGGACCCCCTACCGGAGGGCTCCACAATGGGCCCCGCCCCTCTTCTCCAGTGCCCCTCCCATCCACATAGCCCCTCCTACCTCAGCTCCAGGGCCCCACCCACCCCAGCTGGGCTTCTGGTCAGCCAGGCCTGTGGTGGCTCTGGGGCTGCTTGGATGACAATGGAGAGGTCATCTGCCCTCCACTGAGCCCAGAGGGGCCAGGAGACAGACTCAGGGGCTTCCCCTGGCAGCGAGGCACCCTGAGTGGACAGCGGGGTCAGCTCCAGGTTGGAGACAAACAGGGTGCACCCCTGACAGCCCCTAACACAGGCCAGCACCTCTCCCACGCAGAGCCGCCCTCAGGGCCCCCAGCCCAGCCCCTCCACCCGTGGAGGCCCCGTGGTGCTGGGCAAACAAACTGTAGGGAAAAGGCTAGAGTTAACATTCACCGGGACAGACCACATCCTGGGCCGTAAAACAATGCTTCACAAGCACACACTTAAAGAAGTGAAATCATACAGTCTGTTCTCTTATGAAAATGGAGTTAACTATAAGCCAACACTAGAAAGACAGCTGGAAAACACCGGCTACTTGGGAAACTCAACAGCACACTGCTAAATCACCAATAGGCCGGAGAGGGAGGCCGGGAGGACATTAGACGTATTCACGTATTTCATGTGAATGACAGTGAGACACAACATGTCAAGATCAGCGGGATGCGGCTAAAGCAGAACTGAGAGGAGAATCCACGACACTAAATGCCTATGTTAGGAGAGAAAGATGCTTTCAAGGATGTAATCTAAGCTCCACCTTAAAACATCAGGAAAAGAGCAAATTAACCCACAGTGAGAAGGAAGGAAATACAGAGGATGAAAGCAGAAACAGTGAAACAATTTAAAAAAATAATAAAACCAAAAGCCGGTTCTTTGAGAAGAGCAACACAATTGATGCAGTAAAGAAAGAGATGGAGGGGCGGGCAAAAACAACCAGTCTGAGGAATCAGAGAAGGACTATCACTGGGCACCTCACAGACATGCCAGAGCATGCTTCGGGGATTGCACACAGCTGCAGGCACATGTGTCTGAGAACTGAGAAAACAGGTACCAACTTCCTGAAAGCCACAAACTGCCCAAACTCACCAGGATGAACTACAGCCTAGTCCATTAAAGAAACTGAATTAATAGTTAAAAAAACTTTGGAAAAAGGAAAACTCCAACTGAGTCCAACCAGGTATTAAAAGAAGAAATAACACCAGAATAACACCAGTTCTACAAAACATCTTCAGAAAACAAAAAAGGAAGGAGTACTTCTCAACTCATTTTAAGAGGTTAGCAAATACCCTGATACCAACACCAACACCAGACAAAAACAGTGCAAATAAAAGGAAACTACAGACTGGTATCCCCTTCTGAACACTCACGTAAAAATCTTCAACAAGATACTAGCAAACTGAATCCAGACAAATATAAAAGGAACAATAAGTAACACACCACAACCAAATGGGGTTTGTTTCAGGAATGCAAGGTTGGTTCAATATTTGAAATCAATCAGTTTAATTCACATCAACAGAGTAAGTAAGAAAAACCATAAAAATCTCAATGAATTCAGAAAAACTTTTGACAAACTTCAATATCCATTCGTGATGAAAAACTCTGGGTGAACCAGGAAAAAAATGGGAACTTCCTCAACCTGGTAAAGAGCACGTGCAAAGGCCCTCAGGCAACACCAGGCTGGATGGTGAGGGTGGAATGTTGTCCCCTAAGATGGGAACCTGGCAAAGCGCACCCTTCACCACTGCAACACAGCGCAGCACTGACGGCTGCCCAGGGCAACAAGGCAAGAGAAGGAAGCAAAAGGAAGAGGGATTAGAAAGGACAGAATAAAGCTCTTCTTGTCTGCAGACAACATGATTATTTATGCAGAACATCCCACGGAACGCAGGAGAATGTGAGAACAGCTCCCAGAACTAATGGTCTTAGCAAGATTGTATGACACCATTGCAACAGATGAAAGGCAGTCACGTTTTTATGTACTAGCAATGAACAACTGAAGTCCATGCTTAAAAACCTTCCATTTATAACAGCCCCCAAACAAAAAAAGAAATACCTAAATCGAACAAAACAAATGCAGGAACACATGCTGGAAACTCCCCATGGCTGTTGCATGGAATCCGAGAAGATCTAAATAAACGGGGACATCATTTCTCCCAAAACCAGTTCTGCAGATTTAATGAAATCCCACTAAGACCTCTTTGCAGTTACCGGTAAGCTGACTTTTCGATTTATATGCAAAGGCAAAGGAACTAGAACAATCAAAACAACTTTGCAAAAAGGCAAAAATACACAAATGGGACCTAATTCAACTTAAAAACTTTTGCGCAAAGGAAACCACTGACCAAACAAAGAGACAGTCCACGGAATGGGAGACTATATTTGCAAACAATATGACCGATCAGGGGTTGCTGCCCAAAATACACAAACAGCTCATACAACTCAAGATCAAACAAACAAACAAACAACCAACCCAATTAAAAAATGGTCAGGAGGCCTGAATAGCTTTTTTTCCCAAAGAAGACACACAGATGGCCAACAGGCATGTGAAGAGAGGCTCAACACTGATCGTCAGGGAAATGCGAATGAAAACCACAATGACACCTCACAGCTGTCAGGAGGGCTACTATCAAAAAGGCGACAAATAACAAGTGCTGGCGAGGATGTGGCAGAGGGGACCCTCGTACACTGTTGGTGGGAATGTAAATTGGTGCCGCCACTATAGAGGTTCCTCAAAAAACTAAAAACAGAACTACCACACAGTCCAGCAGTCCCACTCCCGGGTGTGTGGGTGTGTAAAAGCAAGAGATGGAAACACTGACTGGAAAAGACACCTGCGCCCCGTGCTCACAGCAGCACTATTTACAGCAGCCGAGACACAGAAGCCGCCCAAGTGCCCATCACAGAGGACTGGACAGAGACGTGGCGTGTACACACACGCGCACACACGCACACACACACACAATGGAGTACTACCCAACCATAAATAAGAACGAAAAAACACCCTGCATGGATGGACCTAGAAGTAAGTCAAAGACAAAATACTCTATGTTACCACTTACATGTGGCATCTAAAAAATAAAACAAAACAGACACAGACTTAGATATACAGAGAATAAACTTCCCTCACCAGTGGGCAGAGGGAAGAGGGAGGGAGGAGATGGGGCAGGGGATCAAGAGGGACAAACGACTACGACTGCGTATGAAATAGATGAGTTACAAGGACACGTTGTACAGCATAGGGAGCGGAGCCAGCAGATCATGATAACTCTAAGTGGAGCACAACCTGTAAAACACTGCATCACTGTGTTGCACACCTGAAACTAACACAGTGCTGTGAATCAACTATACTTCAGTAGAAAAACAGTAACAATAACTTTGAAAATGGAGAACAAAGTCAGGTGGAGACCTCTCACCACCTGATACAGAGGCTCGTTACAGACCTGCAGTAATCACGACAGTGTGGTGTTGAAAAGGAAAGGCATATGGATTGACAGACTAGAAAAAGAGAGTTTGATAAACTGGATGTCATCAAAATTTAAAACTTTGCTCTGTGAAAAACACTGTTAAGAGGATAAGAAGACAAGCTAAGACTGGGAGAAAATACTTGCAAGTCACACATCTGACAGAGGGCTTTATCCAGAATGTGCAAAGAACTCTCAAAACTCAATAATGTGAAAGTAAACCAGTAAAAATGGGGAGAGGATCCGAACAGACACTTAGCCAAAAAAGGCATGTGGATAATAAACAAGCACATGAAAAGATGCTCAGTGTTGTTAGTTATTAGGGAAATGCAGATTAAAGGCTCAACAAGATACCACACACCCTTTACAAGGGCCGAGACAAGAGCCACACGCCCAGTGCTGCCAGGAGGCGGAGGGGCTGGGGCTGGGACCCCGATGCGCAGAGGCAGACGGACGGACGGACGGACGGACGGCGCCCCGACCCCACTCCCCCGGGAGTCCATCCAAGGGGAAGGAAAAGCATAAACCCGCCCAAAGACTCGGACATGAACATTCCCAGCAGCTGGGTTCACGAGCGCCCCAGACTGGAAACCTGGACAGACCCCGGTCTGTCCCCACCCAGGAGCGCTGCTGGGCAAGGGGACCGAAGCATGGCCGCGGGCGCACGTGAGCAGGGACACGCGTGGACACACAGGGACCACGCATGGTGCCGGGACAGAAGCTGGAGTAGAAGGCGGCCCTGCGTCTTCGCCCACTTCGTGAGTCTGCAAGGGGCCGCCGCAGGGCGCAAGGCGAGCCTGGCAGGGGAGGGGAAGGCCCAGGGACGCCGCGGGGTGGGCTCTGGGTGCAGCCGCCCAGAGCTCCCACCTGACTGAGCTGCAGACAGGAAAGGGGCCAGGTCGAATTCTCCCGTGTGTAAGCTTTTCTTTTCTTTTTGACTGAAGTGTCGTCATTTTGCAGTGTTGCGTCAGGTTCTGGTGCTCAGCACAACGTTTCAGTCACACGTGCACACACGTAGATTCACTTTCATGCTCTTTCTCATTACAGGTTACTACAAG